CGCTAGACTTCCTTGCATGCTATGACTGTTTTGGGAAAAATAATATTTGCTAAGCAATTTTTTTAGGCTGCGTTTCGTTTATTTTGGAGAAAGATGTTTAGGAAAATTTGGAAATAAAGTAATTTTTGTTTGTATTTTGAGAAACAATTTATAATGTAAGGGTTAAATTATGTCTAAATATGTTGACTGTTGAATTGTAATAATCAGGATTAGGGACGGCAATTTGGATCCGGTTCCATGGATCCAATTAGATCCGGTTCGGTCCATAAGGATCCAGTTTAGATTAAGTCTAGTTGAAACAAACCGGATCGGATCAAGTTGATTTTTTTTTTAAAACTGGATCCATGTGGATCCACTTTAGATCCATTGAAAGTTTAACCACAAAATAAAGTGGGTCATATTGGATCCAACCAAAACCCAATTAAATACCAAAACAATTTTCTCTCAAAAAAGTCAAATATTATTTTAATTAAAAGTTTAATTGATAAAAAATTATCAATGAGTATATTAATAAAAACTGTGTGTGTATGTGAGTGTGTGTGTGTAGAAACTGTGTGTGTATCCGAGTGTGTGTGTGTGTGTGTGTAAAACAGAGAGTGTGTATGTGAGTGTGTGTGTGTGTGTGTAAAACAGTGTGTGTATGTGAGTGTGTGTGTGTGTGTGTGTAAAACAGTGTGTGTGTGTATGTGAGTGTGTGTGTGTGTGTATGTGAGTGTGTGTGTGTGTGTGTGTATGTGAGTGTCTCTGTGTGTGTAAAACAGTGTGTGTGTAAACAGAGTGTGTGTGTGTGTGTGTATACGAGTGTGTGTAAACCGAGAGTGTGTGTGTGTGTGTGTGTCTGTGAGTGCATGTGTGTGTATATATAAACATGTATATATATATATATATATATATATATATATATATATATATATATATATATATATATATATATATATATATATATATATATATATATATATATATATATATATATATATATATATATATATATATATATATATATATATATATATATATATATATATATATATATATATATATATATATATATATATATATATATATATATATATATATATATATATATATATATATATATATATATATATATATATATATATATATATATATATATATATATATATCTCACCGACAGAAGAGTAAAAAATATATATCTCGCGTGTGAGAAAAAGTATAAAGTGTCCGCCACAGAGAGATAAAAATAAAAACACTCCCCTCAAAACAAACGCATATATATTTTTTTTTGATATATATAAAAACTTCCCCTTTATTACACACGAGAGAGAGTACTCCGATTTTTTTTTTTATATATAACACTCTCTCTAGCCTCTCTCACACAGACACACACCCCCCCCACCCCCCACAGCGTTCTTGTGTTTT